AAGTCATAAACATTAAACATAAAGTCATAAACATCCAAATAAAACTCTAAAAATCAAAACATTCATGAAAAGTGCAATTGTTCAAACATACTGCAGAGTGTAGATTGTTACTTACCGTAAAGAGAAAGGAAGGTGGGTTGAAAACGTCAAAGCTGACAAGAGTGAGTACGAACAGCGATGAGCAAATGAGGAGCGGGTGACGATTGGACGGATGAGTGATTAAATCGTGAGTTCGTGATGTTGCTTCCATCGAAGATCGGTCCTTAACTCCTTAATCTTTATCCTTCGTTCGATCGTTCGTGAATGTGGAGACTGGAGCAGGTGAGGAACGATTTTTTTTATTAAGGCACGTAAATACCTAATGGCTGGTTTCACAAAGACTCAACAGTCAACACTCAAGGAGTCAAGGTCAAAGATGGATGATGGGATCATGAGACACATGCCCAACAGTAGCCCACAACACAATGCCACATTGGCCAAACATATGGCTGATGATATACGAAATTATGAACGAATACCAAATTAAAATTTAAGGATATGATAAATAGAAACTAATAGTATAATATGATGTTAGATTGTTAAAAAATAAAATAAATAGATAATTAAATATATTAGGCAGGTTGGCGGGTTGACCCGCGAACCCAAACAGGTAACCCAACCCAACCCATTAAATAAACGGGTTGGCGGGTTGATGGGTTGACGGGTTGGCGGGTCATAAATCTCAACCCTAACCCGCTTATTTTCGTGTCGGGTTCGTGTCGGGTTACGGGTTGGGTCAAGAGTTGCCACCCCTATATATATATATATATATATATATATATATATATATATATATATATATATATATATATATATATATATATATATATATATATATAATCAAACGGTTCGGTTCGGGTAACCGCGGATACCTAGATATGAAAACCAAAAACCGACCCATTGATATTCGGTTTTTTCGGTTTCGGTTTTTTTTGGTTTTGGTTTTTTCGGTTTCGGAGTGGCCGGTTCGGCTTGGTTTTTCGGTTTTGCGGTTTTTTTGCACACCCCTACTCACAACCGATCCTCGGGGACTATTTCACCCCCTACTGCTACTATCACATATATCATAACATAACATATTATTAGACATATCTGGGGTGCCTGAACTACCCTTCGGTCCTATCAACCGAACTCGGGGACTGGTCCCCTCCTACTACCTCTATCGCATATAACATAACAAGCCAGAATGCAAACATATCATCACATACTGTCAGGTGTATATGGGGTGTCTGACTACCCTTAGGTCCTAACAACCGAACTCTACTACTATCACATACAACATATCATGCTAGCATATAACATATCAGGTAGTAGCAAACCTAGATGATATCACAAAGACAATCATCTATCATACGTCTCCTATTGGTGTGCCGGTATTGTGGCCTTAGACCCACCGCTACTAGAAGGTAACTCACCTCGTAGTAGCTGCTGATCTGCGTGGGAACGGTTTGTCTACTGCTGCTGCTCCGGAAATCCTTCGGCTGCAATTCCCACCAAACACTCAGTCAAATACTGCTAACCGACCTCAGGGTAAAATGACCATTTACCCCTAACTAAACCAAGAGTCAAAGTCAAAGTCAACTTCCAGTTGACCCGACTCGTCGAGTTGGCTCGCCAACTCGTCGAGTCCCTATCCCTTCGATTGACCATAATCCCATCTTTACTCGTCGAGTTAGGCATTGACTCGATGAGTTTTCCTTCTAAGCCGATGTCCAATAGTCCTTCATCCTACTCGTCGAGTTCATCTTCATCCGAAGAACATTCTATGCTGAGACTCACCGAGTTGTATGAACAACTCGCCGAGTCTGTTCTTGAGGAAAGAAGATTGCCTTGAACTCGCCGAGTCAGGGCATTGACTCGCCGAGTTCCTTCATCAATGAGTCTGGCTTCCGACCCACTAAGTCACATCCCATGACTCACTACTCCACCCATCAAACACGAAAAAGGGGAAAACTCGGGGACTCGCGACTCTACTCGCCGAGTCCGATAAACGACTCGCCGAGTCTTTCTCATGCAAATACTATATACTCGATTTTGCTTGAAACCAGCTCATGCCATACATAGATCTGGGTTCTTAGGGCTTGATTAACACGTAAAGTTTCCAACTTTACGTGTAAATAAACACTAATGAAGGTTTTAGGACTCAAAATGCACTAAAAGAGTAGATCTAGGGCTTTCAGGCAATATGGCTCCATAAAGGCAGTAGATCTGAGCTCCTGGAGCTCAATCATGCCTATATCTAAGGGTTAATCAACTTATTACAAACCCTAACTCGAAAACAAGCTTGGAAATGGCTCAATAAGGACTTTAATGGAGCTACAAAGGAATATAAGCATGCAAACAAAGGGAAACTGAGTTATACCTCAAGGAAATCACTGAAATAACATAAGGATGCCTAGCCTCCTTCTTCTCTTCTTGATCTACTCTTCTTTTCTCTCAAAATCTTCAAGAAACACACCAAAGCACTTCAATCTCTCATGAAATAAGGGTTTGGACGATGTTGGGAGCTCTGAAGGTGAAGGGGGGCTAGGTTGAGGCGCATAAGGTTGGTTTATAAAGGGTGCAAACCCTTGAAATTTAGGGTTTCATCAGACATCGGGGACTCACCGAGTACAGTATATGGACTCGCCGAGTCACCAACTTAAACGTGTTCCATATCCCGTCTCTACTATGCGAGTCGGGCCAACAACTCGCCGAGTCCAAGGCTAAAATTGCAAATACTTAGATAAATTTTACGTACCAGGAACCAAGTGCTACACTAGTGTTGTCACTTATGTGACCATCTCAAATTAGAATGTTCAAGAAATAGATAATTTTTAATAAATAATTATTAAATAAATATGTTATTTTTAACTCACTAAACTTATTGTCTGATAAATATTGTTTTTCCATCTATTCTTGGTTCAGGTAGCATAACTTAGTATGAGTGGCGATATCATCAACAAGACATGGACTGGATTTAGATTTTTGTACTGTATAATCTTTTTGCGTTAATTATGATTGTGATAAGGTTTGTGCACCCGATAAGTTTCTGGGCAAATGCTATATGGTTTAGGATTGATGATGTATAAAAACTCTAGCACATTCCCATAAAATAATATTAAAAGGTATCTAAAATTTTTGGGTGTTACAAGTTGGTATCAGAGCTATAGTTTAATTGAGTTAGGTTTGGATTGTCTACACCTAGGCTTAAACTATGATGATAGAAAAGAACCAAAATGTCGTAGGATCATTATTACTAATATTAGGAAGTGATATGATTACTAAAATGTTTTGTATAAGAAGTTTTATGTTAATAGTTGTACTTATCAAAGTGATGCGATGATATTAGTTTAGTAACAACTACCATTTAGAAGATTATACGTACTAGAAGCACCCCAGTACAGGGTCATGAATGCAAAGGAAGTACCGGAGGAAATCAAGGACCACATGCAGTCACTTTGGAAGCTATAAAAAAGGCTTTTGGAAAAAAACGTTGAATGGTTTTTGAAACTATAGATTTTGAACGATGATATATAAAACTATGAATAATTCCCAGGAAATAATATTAAAATGTATCTTAAAGTTTTAGGTGTTACACAACATATAGTTGGACCTCTCCCCTTGGGCCTATAGTAACAACTAGACCTCCCGGGTATCTTGGCCTACAGTACAGAGCATGATCGCCTCAACCCAAGTTGACATATGCAAACAAACAAAACAATAGCCAACAAACACGGGTAATCTTAATAGATCTGCCGATCTAACAGATCACTATAGCATATCAACATCCTATACAAAAAGAATACATACATCAGTACAACATATAGTGAGAAAACTCACCTTCTTGAATAGCAGATAATCAACACAACTCACACAAAAAGAAACTAGTTGTATGAGCCATCTATACAACAATCATAGGCACATCCTCAATCGATATCTTAAAACCATTAGGTTCACCAAAAGTCAACTTGGTCAAAAAGTCAAAGGCAAAGTCAACCATGTTTTACCACCACGTCGTGGCCAAGCATATGCCACATCGTGGTAGCCTCATGGCAAAATAGTCGCAAGAATGCTTATCACCACGTCGTAGTGATCAAACCACCACATTGTGGCATATGTTCTGGCCAACTAAATATATTAAGCTTTTAATCCCTTAAGCCACTCATCCATACTTTTCAGGAAGCTTTCTTACACAGAAATACATCATAAAGAAAAGATCTTTATGTACATGCATGGTGGATACATGTCTTCTCCAAGTTAGGTCAAAAATGAAATAAATGAGCTCAAAACTCATGCATAAGACCAACGATTCCCTAGAACATTAGATTTGGAACATATAACCATAAAGGAACATCAAGGATCCATTAAGTTGCCAACTTTATAGAATCAATCCACTCAAACCACCTTAAACACGGAGAAAAGTGCATAAAAGCCTAGATTTAGAAATGTTACACACAAAAGTCCATAATGAGTGTAAGAAGGCAATGAGGAGCTTGCTTGCTAAATTTTAAACTAAGAACACCTTATTATTGCTTAAAAATAACAAAACACCACCAAAAAACTTTAAGATCCAACCAAGGAAGGCAATGGTTTGTTCTAAGTCAAGAGGGAATGATGGAGGCTGAAGGTGAGCAAACCCTAACCATCACATCTCTTAAATAGGGACACTAACCCCGGAAATTAGTGTTTTGCATAATGGTCTCCGTCGTGGGCACTAACCCTAGAAATTAGGGTTTTGCTTAATGGTTGCCAGCACGTCGTGGTGGACACGATATGGTGGCGACTATTATGCAAAACCTTTATTTCCGCGGTTAGTAATTTATTTAAGGATGATGAAGTATGGCAATTGCATATAAGGCAAACAAATCTCTTTTATTTACATATGTACAATTTGATACAATACATTCAATAATACACACTTATATACAACTATATATATATATATATATATATATATATATATATATATATATATATATCACATAGTAAACCGTTGCAACCCTCCTGTCATAACGGTTGAATAACTATCATTAACTGTGATAACCGCCATGTTAACTGTTTGTGTCTAGCTTATACTTCGAATAACATTCAATATTTAGATCCATATCAACACTACATGTAAAACATGGAGTTCATAGCTACTATATAGATTATTTATATGTCAATCATGATCAATTTATTTTTTATTTGTTTCTAGCTTATATTTCGAATAACGTCAATCAAATTATTTTACGATAAAACATGACCAAGATATTTGATCAAGTTTCAGTTACTTCACTGCTCTTTATTTTCAATTTCTCGATAAATGTCTTTCCATTGAGCTTGCGGGAGAAGAAGTCCTTGAGGTACTGTTCCATTACGAGTGTTTTGTACAGCGCTGGGTCTCCTGTAATTGTTAGGAGACTCTTTGCTGGTCCAACATCTGCATCAAGCTTTGGATTAAAAAACATGGCTAATGAAATCCTCTCTTTTGTTGTGTTAACAGTTGCTCTATGCTCAATGCTTTTGTACATACCATTGCTCATTATCTGGAAATACATATAATTTAAAACTAGTAAGCATGCAAATGGATTGTTGTAGCACTTGCCATCAATATTTGATTTGTGTGAAATTCAATATGATATTTCATGAAAAATATTAAGCCTCATTCGAATATATGATTTTTCATAATATTTATAGAATATATCAAAATAATCCACCAAGATTAGTTTCTGTAGGCTTTTCAAAAAAGAAGTATACCACTATAGCTTCTGTATACAGAAACCATGAAAACCTTTAGTATAAAACCTAAACAGAAATCCGTTCTGCAGACTAATTAATACGTCCCACTTTTCAAGAAAACTGAAACTTATAAGTTAAATGGTCTAGATACTCATTATAGATATAAACCAAAGCTTGGGTGGTTACATTTAAACCGAATTAAAGCTGCACCTTCGGGTAGCTAGTACTTAATTTACGTTTGTAATAAGTTTACAGTTGCTCTAGTTTGAACTGGAACATGAATGTTTACCTGCCTAATAAATCATAATAAAACATACAACTAATTTAGTGAAATCTGGAAGAAAAGAAAACCCTAGTGCACAACAACTATGACCCGGAGAGATACTCAACTAAAAATGGGTGATATTTAAATGTTTCATTAGGGCACAACACCATAAAGTAAGTCGCCTGATCTCAAATATATATATATACACTCTAATAAATAAATATTTTTTTGACACATTTCATACCTAATTCAATTTGTCAAATTTTATTTTGTGGTTATTTTGAATTTATTTCTTTTGCACGTATCATTTTATGAGTTTTCTATTTTAATAAATTTTACATAATTTTTTAATGTAATAATTAAAATAAATATATTAATAAATAAATATCAATTTCATTAATAGATTTATCTTTTTATTTTCAAAATTTCAAATTAAAGTTCATTAGTTTATTTTATTTATTTATTTATATTTAAAAGATTAAAAAAATCAATTTTAATAATTCATTATTTTTTTATTTTTTCTTATAAATACAAAGTTATTAAATATTTAGACATTTATATTTAACTTTTTTTAATTCATTCATATAATACATGAGTCTTACTTTTAATATATTTATTATAATATTCTTAAACATCAATCCTAACTTGATTTACTTTCAATGTTTTTAAATTTTCACTATTATCTTTCTTTTACATCACATCTTTTTGCCGAATACCTATTATGTTATATATATTATAGTTTAAAATGAAAATTATATGAGAGGAAGATAAATGTAAAATTATAAAAATTTTGGAAGTAAATCAAGTTAGGAGTTTAATTATAAGAATATTAGACAATTACAATGTATATATATATATATATATATATATATATATATATGATACAAAATGACATAATATTGTGAGTTTGGGTACGTAAGTTTATATACCTTATGGGTATATTCACTTTTCCCATATATATATATATATATATATATATATATATATATATATATATATATATATATATATATATATATATATATATATATATTATATATATATATATATATATATATATATATATATATATATATATATATATATATATGGAATCAAAATGCATGTATACCCACGTTTCAAAATTGAACTATAATATAATTATCCATTCATTTGTTTTGGATTTCTTTCCGGTTAATTTTTAAACCCATTTTGCAGGTCGCATTTATTAAGTAGATTTATTATATTTGAGATTTGAGATTTGAGATTTGAGATTGTTAGCCAGTAGCCTAACCTCAAGAATGTCTCCAATATTTACGACCAAAGCATCTGGAAGAACATCCAGAGGGATCCATACCCCATCTTTCTTGACTTGCAAACCGTCGACATCGTTGACTTGGAGAAGAATGGTAATTCCAGTAGCGTCAGAATGAGGGGAAAGACCGATGACCAGATCTGGTTGTGGACATGGAGGATAGTAAGTCATCCTCACTGATTGGATTCCATCTTCAAATTTATCTACCATCTCTTTCTTGTCAATATCTACTGCTTGCCCAATTAATCCTAACAAATTAATCGCAAGTTTTTGCACTTCTTGCAAGTAGTTCTCCATGGTATCTCTGTTGAAAAAAATAAAAAGAAATATAGAGAGAGTTGTATAACTTATTAAGATTGTATCAAATTATTTATCAAGCTAAATGTTTATTTTTTGTGACGAGAGATCACAATATTGCTTTTGGCCGACTTTATATATGATTCCAGTTGCACTTCAGTTAGTATATATATAGATTGATTGTTTTATGACAATATGATACATATGTTTATTGAGATATATATATACAGATGGGGATCGAGATGATGGATCAAATCTCTGTACAAGCTTATCAATCGAGTCTCTCAATGCAAATCAATCAAAAAAAGTTATCTTAATGTCAATAGACATATCATCGAGAGATACAAATAAACAGTTTTCAAAGAGCTGAAGAGACCGAGACCTTAATGATGGAGGGAACTCTGGAAGTAAATGGGATTTCCTTCTCTGAATAGGATTGGTGATCATGTAAAAGCGATCAGCCCAGTCAATTTTTTGATCTTGAGTATGGAGTATGGTTTGACCATACCCCTCATACTCACCTCCCTCCAACTTGTACCTCTGCTTCTCTTCCACAGGCATGTTGAAAAATTGTATGGTTTCCTTCTTCATTTTCTCCACTAACAATTTGTCTACTCCATGATTCACCAACTACATATTAATTCAATTGAAGGTCATCTACAATAGATATTGAACATAAGTTTGAGCTTTATAAAGATACTTCACCTGAAAGATTCCCCATTCTTGGCACACAGAGCGCAGACTTTTCAAGTTATCGTCGTTCGTTCCTAACATCTTGATAAAATCTTTCAAATCAATGACTGGGATAGAGGGCAAAGGTGAAGATCCATTAAAGATAACGGTGGGTTCTCGGTTTTCCTGAACATAGCGATCAGGGACAGCTACTTTGAATTCTTTTGCAAGTTCTTGAAGACTCACATGGATGGGTATCAATGGTTGGGAGGAAGCCATTCAAAAATCGGTTGTTAACAGTTGGAGTGTTTGTTATGCTACAAAGTGAGAAGTCTCTTATAAATAACAATAGTTCGCTATGTGTTGGTTTAAATAGAAAAGATTTGCTTGCCAAAACGTGATATATCAAAATGACACATAGGTGACAAGAGTTGCATGGACTTGCTCAATGCATCGATAGTTCTTGCATGGGACTTGCTCAATACATCAATAGTTGTTAGTAGCTAACCCTGAGAAATTAAATATCCTCAAAGGCCTATGACGAACAAGAAAAAAATGGCCATTGTGGTTATTATAAGTTGTTATTTTTAAATAAAAACATATAATAATAAAAAATTGGGCTTTGTGCAGCTGTCCACTTTGTTTCACCTCAACACCCTCCATGGTTCTTAGGCCATCTCCAATGGATTAAACCCATGAAGAGTTGTATGGATTGCCAATTAGGAAAGAGAATATATACATTCACTTTAATTATTAAAAAATTAATAAATTTTCAATTACAACTTCATTCCACCGTTCAATGGCCATTCAACTACACACTCTCTCTTCTCTATATGATATTCATATTTATTCCATTAAACCCTCATACAACTCCTATTGTGGATGACCTTAGAGCATCTACATTACATATCCATAGAATTTAATGGATTAATTGTAACATCATCATTCACTATTCTATAAAACGCTATCAATTTTTTCTCATTCTGTATTAAACTCTACCAAGTTCAATGAAACATATTTTAAATTATTATTTAAGAATTAGAGAACTTTGTTTGAATATTTCAATGATTCTTGAACTTCAAATTTGTTTGAATATTTCAATGATTCTTGAACTTCAAATCCATTCAACATGCCATTTTTCAATAATAACATTTCATCTATTGAATGTATACGTACACTTGTCACCAACAAGTTTATGTAAATGTACAGTTTTTTTTTTTTTTTTTTTTTAAAAACACTGCACGTTCAGATTATTTAATAACTCATTGCCTATTTTCATGTTTCTCACACTTATTATTCATTATATCCCTTTTCTGTCAATGAAATTTATATTCTATTTAATTATTATTGAAAAGTCGGGCAATAAATCTGTGGTCAAAGATTTTTACTAATTAAATTATATATAGAATCAGGCGTGCATTGCAGTATTTACAAAGGAGAATATAAGTTTTCATTGATATACAACATATGTTAGGTTATCATATATATTTAAATAAGGGACCCATATATATAAAAAATGATATGTTCCTGATACGAAGGCAGATCTTTAAATATTCCTTGGTATCCTTTTATTTTTTATTATCTAGTAGAATATAGGGCTTTTTCAGCATTTGCAGGTCTAGGTATCACAATCCTTGGTTCTAGAAGATATCTACATGACAATTTCAACAAGTATATTCTGAAGTTGTAGTTTCTATGAGTGATATTATGGTGGAGGGATCAGGAAACTCCATCAACTCCCAAATCACACATCAAAACACACGTCATATAAATATGCTCTAATTTTGGCAGCCTTTTTTAATAGATCACGTCAACTCATACATAATAAAAATACAAAATACAGCATTTGTGGGATGTACGAATAGTGTTGGCTGTAACTTTAAAATATTTTGGAGATAATAATATGAGTAGAAAACGAAAACTTTTTATTTCCTTTTCACTTCTTACTTGAAAACAACAAAATGAAGACAATTTATAGACTTCACTTATCACCTACAAAATTTATGCTGAAAGTTAATCTAGACATAGGGTTGGTTTTGTAATTATGTTATGGTAGGGTAGTTAATTCCTGAAGTTAATTGGTAGTTAATTGCGGAGGTTATAGGTTAGTTATTAGGATTAGTTAATAGTTATCTATTTATGGAAAGTTGTAATGGTTTTTGAAGAGTTGCAATGGATACTATATGTTTATGTCTAGTGCTTCGCAACCGGATTCATATTTATCACAGTTAATAACAAAACCGGAAGTTATACACTCGAGGTTTTTTTTTTTTTTTTTTTTTTTTTTTTTTTTTTTTTTCAATTGCGTGCTAACCAAATTGAGTTTTAGAGATAAATGTAGGAAATAGCATCCTACTTTAATATATTTAAAAAGCAATAAACAGCATTGGCACAATGGTGATTCCATGAGTCATTACCACACTAAAATTGATGTGACAGCTTATGAATTGGCTAGTGGTGTATAATTAAACCAGTTAAAAGCGTTTTTGTCGCCGTTAAAAGTGTCAGTCGCTGCTAAAGGTATCACTGTTAAAGACTTATGTTGGCGATCCGTGTCATTTCAACCCTAACCGTCGATTTAGTCGATGATCCAACGACTAGGAGGACGTAGAAAACCCCGCGTTGTTTTCCCTCCGGTTTGTCGCCGCTATTGCTTGTTCTGGCGATCCGCATCATTTCAACCCCATCCGTCGATTTAAGCGATGATCCAACGACGTAGGAAACCCCAGATTGTTTTTCCTCCAATGTGTCGCCGCTAAAGAGCATCAACAATAAAATTTGTTTCGTCTTCACTTTCTTCCGTACTCTTCTATTTCTTCTCTCTTCTCTCTGCTTATCACCTTCGATCACATAGGAATTTCACCGAATTCTTCGATATTTCACCACTCTTCCTCTCCATTTTTTCCCATTTTCTTTTCCTTTTCTCTTCTCCCTAGTAAATTTGTGTTGGTTGTCGGAATTTTGAGATCCCCCACCGTTCTCGCCGGAGTTTACTGCAACCACCACTGTTCATGACGAAATTTTGATAATTTTGATATTTCATACGTGTATCTGTATCTGTATTTTGTGTTTATAGATGCGGATATGTATTTTGTATTTGCATTTGTATGTAATGTGTATCTTAAGTGTATTTTATGTATGTATATGTGTTTTTCTATGATCATTTATATGTATATGTGTATTTTGTATGTGAATTATGTATGTGTATGTGTTTTTGTATGTATATGTGTATTTTGTATGTATAAAAATACATATAAATAGCGGCGACACCTTTTAGTGACGACGGGTAGTAGTAGAAGTGATGCACCTTTAGCGACGACTCACTTTTAGCGGCTACAAAAGGCAATAGCAGCGACCCTTTAGCAACGACAGGTCGCCGCTAATACCTTTAACGGTGACATATTTGACCTTTAGCGGCGACGTCCGTCGCCACTAATACTCGAATTTCTTGTAGTGTTATATCTAATATCATTGGGTTTACTCTTGAACTCACCTCACACAACTTTTGCATTGAAGCAAGTCAATCTTTGAGAGATGGATCATTCAAGTTACCATCTTCCCCTAAATTTTCATGAACCTCTTTATGTTCACCCTCAAATACATCAAGATCATTAGCTACCCTCTTGATTAATTCTGAATCTACCAATTACTTGCGTTTTTAATAATGAACATTTTTTTCTTTAAATCATCATAATTTGAAAGATCATAACGCATAATGTGATTTAAAAACAACATTTACTTTCAAGGATCCTACCACATAAGCCGAATTTTACTATCAACAATCTGAAAGGTGGATGAGGTTGCCATGTGTCCAAATTCGAAAATAAAATTATAATTTCGACAACTTTTTTAATTGATTTGTTTATTATAGCATCTTACTTTTAATTTTTTTTTTCATTTATAGCATCGTATTTGGACCAATATGATTCATATACAAGGCAATTTTCAAACAGCATAATGTTATAAAGGATATACCTAATATTTAACATCATATTTCATTGGATCTTTGAGAAAGTATTTGAACTGTAGCAAAAAAACAACAATAACTAGTTTTAAAAACATAGAATTTACTATTTTAAAATCATAGATTAACTATTTTAAAAGCATAGAATTTACCTGAAGAAAGACCTACGGAGCAATTAACATGAGGAGGGCTAAAGCATAATATAGTTTACTAGCACCTAAAAGGTAACGTACCACCAAAAAAGCATTTCACATATGCAGGTCAAGAAAAAATATATATCATTAAAAAAAAGTGTTAAGTTACATGTATGGAAGTAACTCATATCCATTTACTTGTGTCCTCACTATAAATCATTGGAAGGGTGTGGTTAAGTTTTCATTACATACCAACATCAAAATATCATAATTTATATTATATCAAATTGGATGTAAATAAAAAAAATTTAAAGTGTAAAGAATTACCTAAAGTTCCATTTTTTTTTTTTTTTTGCGTCCTTCAACACTTTTGAAGTCATTGACCAGCCCACCTATCATGAAAAAGTCAAACATATATAACACATTACTTAAATTTATACATTTGGAGTTTCATGTTGTTAACATATATAACACATTACATAAATTTATACATTTGGAGTTTCATGTTGTTTTTCCTCTGGTAGCTGGTGTGTGTAGTTCAGTAGTGGATACACTTTGCCTTTATTACCCATTCTTGTTTGAACCTGGTTTACTCTAATTAGTGGGGTTCTTTATTTTATTTTATTTTACTCTTAGCTTGCTATTTCTTAGTCTTTTTCCTTTTTTTCACTTTTTTATTTCGCAGATAGAGCCAACCCCAAGTGGAAATCTTCCTCCTAGGTTTTATCCAAATACATGTCGAAGTGTGTGAGTGGTTTATAGATGATTTTTCTAGTTCCTATTTTTTTTTTTTTCTCTTTCCATTTTCATGTTTATGCATGACAAAAACCTTGATCTACTCTCTCAACCTAACTATGTTGTTAAATTGGTATATTTATAACATTTTTTTTTATATATCCATATTCTAAAGTTCGTAGTTGTTGTGTAAAAAGAGATACATAAAAACATAAGTCAAAATGTTGTTACAGAAACAAAGCAAACTAAGATCCTATAATAAACACATGAATGAAAGTACATTGCTACTTCTTTCTATTACAACAACGTACTTTCATATATTTGTATATTATAAGCATTCTACTTTTTGTTCTCTCGGTTACAGAATTATACTTGTGCTCTCATGATAAGGGTGAAGCGAACTTTTTAATGTTTTCCCAAATAGCACCTTCCACTCCATTGATTCGATCAACCATACCCTAAATTTTTTAAAAAAGAACAAAAACATTGATACTTATAACAAATTACGACTTCTTTCTTTATTAGTTCATTCTTTTTCCATTAACTAATAAATAAACCCATATATAGCGTATGATTGGTTTTATTGGTTATCAAAAACATGTAAAGTG